AGAGAGAGAGAGAGAGAGAGAGAGAGAGAGAGAGAGAGAGAGAGAAAGGGTGTCTCAAAAAGTTATGATGCTTTTAATTTCAAGTTCTAGATTGTCAATTGATTATCACAAAATGATTTTTTTAGGACTGGAGAGACAATGGCTAGTCCTGGTTCCTCATCCCTACATCCTGAGGAGAGACACGGCTAGTCCTGACTGCATCCTTACATCCTGAGGAGAAGAAATGGCTAGTCCTGGTTCCTCATCCTTTAATCCTGAGGAGACATGGTTAGTCCTGCCCTAATTTTGATAATCAACATCTCAGGAAGGGTAGAGTCCTTAAAAACTGTAACAGGGGGTTGAACAGAAATCCAGAGGGCACTGCTCATTACGGGTTAATGAGTCTTGTCTGGGCCCACAACCACACGGGCTGTCTCCTAGGAAAAGTAATGGCTTCTTTATTAATAAACATAATTTATCAGACAAAATCTATCCCCTAAAGGAGAAAGACAAAGAATGTAAGGGGTCTTGGGTTTTGAAAAATCAAAACAAAACACAGGTCATTGCTTAAAATTTCCAAGTAGACTCTAGCACTGATACAAATATGCATTCAAACAGAGGCCTCAGACCCTTTAGATCTACATGACCTCAGTGTTAATGAACATGCCCTCAACCATTCCTCTTGTGGGCAAATTGCATCATTTCCTGCGCCAAATCCTGGTAAAGTCCTTGTCTCATCTACTACAAGAATGAAGACTATCTCAGTAATCAGACTACCAACATTCCAGAAAATGTCTACCTCACTCTGAGGGACTGCAATTACTGTGAACCATCCTGAGGGACTTCAGTGGTGTCAAGGTAGGGTTGAATCTCCTTGGGAAGAAAAGGAAATCCCAGTTGAACAGGCTAGGAAACCAACAGGCACTGGCTGCTACCTGAACCATCTGTAGCAGAATACTCTCCCAGAATATGTCCAAGGTTGTTAGACCCAGCTTCCATCTCAAGATGAGCTCTGAGTGTACCCAAGCCTGTGCCCAAGTCCCCATCAACACCATCATTCAGGACAAGGGATCTCTCAGTTTGACCTGCAGGGTTTGGGACAGCACAGGTGTTGTGAGTTCAGTACATCAAGCCCAGGGTTAATCCTTGAAGGAATTGGTATCACACTTGTTTTGAGTTCAGCTGCTTTCACTCAGCAACCCATGGCAGTTACAATCAAAGATATGAGAAAGGTTTTAGTTTCTTTCTGAAAAAGAAACTGTGCAGCCGGCTGATGATGAAGACCTTAGGTACCCTGCTGCAGAGTCCTGGAATTTAAGAATGATTTGGTATCATTTTTTGGCACGATAAAAGACTTCTGTTGATTTTTTGGGGGGGGGAGGAGGGACCCTAGTAAAACAGAACAGTTAAGAGTTCTCCCCTTGTTTGACAAGAATCTTTTTGAAACTAGGGCCGCCCATATGCACACCGAGTGTGAGGTCATTCACTGGGGCATAGCATCCTTTGGTTAACACACCTCAGAAGAAAACTGACTCTCCCTCCACTAGTGGCCATCAACTGCCAATAGCTCCCCAGTTAGGGCTGGGGCCTCAGTAGTCTTTCCCCAAGCCTTGCTGGGATTTTTGACTGGCTTGATCTTGTGACGGTCTTGTGCAGGCATCCATAGCTGCGGTGAGTTATGTGCAAAGCCAAGCCATATCTAGAAGGCTGTATTTCATAGCACTCCTCCCCATCATCTGACTCTCACATTCTTTCTGTCCTCTCTTCATTACTGTTCCCTGAGCTTTGTGAGTGGGGAAGCAGGTCCATATAACTGTGTCTTCTGTGGCTGAGCCCACACACTTACTTAGTACCAGCACTTCTAAAAGTTATGAATACTTTTGGTTAGAACCTTAAGGCAATTGCTTTGGGCTTCTAGTTAGCTTTCCTGATGGGAACAGGAAGCTGGCTTTCCCAGCATCTCCCTGAATGCTTTTAAGATGAAATCATGTTGTACTTTTATCGACTGCTTCTCTGTTTTAATGTCTGATAGAATCAGTATCATGCTTTAGGCATCACACTGTCAGTACTGAGTGAGTGAATATCCAAGTCAACCTTGTCTGAGAGTGAGTTCAGAGTCTTTCCTCTGCAAGTGTTTGTTGAACGTCATCTGTGTGTCAAGCATTGTCCTGGACACTGAGAAAGTAGCAATATGAAAAAAGGCAGACTCATGGCTGCCCTCCAACAGGGTGAAACAGAGCTGAGACGTCAGATCTTAAAGATTTTATCTTTAGTTATATGTGCATGTATGCCGTTGTGTTTGTGCACATGCCTGCTGGTGCCCGAGAAGGCCAGGAGGATGTGTCTGATCCCATGGAGCTAGAGAGTTACAGGTAGTTGTGAACTTGCCCAATATGGGTGCTGGGAACCAAAGTCAGGTCCTCTGCAAGGGCAGTAGGAATGCTTAACTGCTAAGCAATCTCTCCAGTCCCCTCATCTCGTTCATGTTATTATCTAAATCCCAACCCACATGGTAAAATAAGAACAGCAAAGAGGTGCCGTGCCTAAATCAGCCCTTCTGGCAGAGACAATGTGTACAATGGAGTGACCACCTCCCACACCTAGATACATCTCTGGGCAGGCATGGCACCTGAGCAGAGCAGGTCAAAGGCAGCCCTGTCTGGGATGTCCTAGGAAAGACATCCTCTTCCCCAGTGTTGTAACCATACTGGTTTGGAGGAAGACAGTCCCAGAATGCAGTCCCACCCCCCTTACTCAATATCCTGTGCACGGGAGCGAATGGATTAAACTTTTGAAATGGGGGGGTCCATTTCTGTGAAGCCCAGACTTTGGTCTCTACCGTGGCCTAGGAGGGACACAGTTTTGGAAAGAATGCTAAGAAGAAAATACTCTGTTTAAGGACACTGATGTTTTTTCAAGGAATTGCCTTTCTGACTAAGTCTCTCTCTCTCTCTTTCGAACTCTCTCTCTCCCTCTCTCCCTCTCTCTCTGTCTCTGTCTTTCTCTATTTGTATTTGTGTGTGTTCAAGCACCTGTACCCATGTGTGTATGTGTGTATGTGGAGACCAAAGGTCAACCTTGAGTGTCTTTCTTAGTCATTTTCTAGCTAATTTTTTTAAGTTATTTATTTGGGGGGTGAGCATTGCCATGGCACATGTGTGGAGCTCAGACAACTTGCCTCACTCTGTCATGGGGATCCTGGGGATCGAACTCAGGCTGTCAGGATTGGTGGCAAGTGCTTTAACAATTTGAGCTATCTTGTTGGTCCTACCTTTAAATTTTTTGTTATGCTTATTTACTTATGGGGGACAGTGGATTGCTGATAGAGGTCAGAGGACAAGTTGTAGGAGTTAGTTTTCTCCCTCTACCATGTAGTTCCTCTGGCTTGAACTCAGGCTATCAAGCTTGTTGGTGAGTGCCTTTACCCACACAGTCATTTTACTGTTGAAACAAGAACTCTCACTTTTACCTGGAGTCTGGCTGTCCAGTAAGTCCCTCTATCCACCCGTCTCCACCTTCCTGGCAAATGGGCTTACAAACCACCAAACCCAGCTTTTTGACAAGGTGCTGAAAATCAAACTCAGGTCTTCATGATTGTGCAGCAAGCACCTCCCACTTGAGCCACCTCCCTGGCTCCTGCTCTATGTCTGAATTAGGAATATAAATGCTCCCCATCCCATGCCCTTCAGAAGTACCTACCAGAATCTGTTGGTGCTGTTTCTCTATCTCATAGCCTCCAAAATGAACTATGCCTGGTCTGGCCTGGATGGCCTTATTGTTCAGAATCTTGGTATAGACCTCTATAAAAGAAAGACAAGTCCATCATGAGCTCTACAGAATACTACATTGAAGAAGTAGTATTGGGCTGTCTTTCCTTTTGGGCACTTTAAGCACACGCAATGCCCAGAGAGTGAATACAACTGTCAATAGATGGATTAGGAGTCCCAAATAAACTGGACTGGGTCTGCTTTTCTGTTTAAAAAAAGATGTGTGTGTGTGTGTGTGTGTGTGTGTGTGTGTGTGTGTGTGTGTGTGTGTGTATGTATGTATGTATGTATGTATGTATGTATGTATATGTGCGCGTATGCGCCCCTGTCTGCCTGCCTGCCTGCCTATAGAGGCCAGAAGAGGATGTCAGATCCCCTAGAGCTGGAGTTCCAGGCAGCTGTTAGCTGCCTGATACGAGTGGTGGGGACCGAACTCAGGTCTACAAGAGCAACCAGTGCCCTTGACAGACTGGCCTTGTCTCCATCCTCTTCTTTTCATCTTGTTTACACATGCCTATTACCTATTAAAGTTATTTGTTCTCCACATATGTCATGCATGTTTTTGTGTGTGTACTTGTAGGGGTCAAAGGACAGCTTCTGGTGTCATTCCTCAGGTGTTGTCTACTTGTTTTTGTTTTTTGATTTTTTGAGACAAGACATCTCTCAGGCCTGGAACTTAGATAGTAGGCCAGGCTGGTTGGCCAGTGAGTCCTAGAGAGCTGGTTGACTCTGCCTCCCTGGTGCTAGGGTTACAAGCACATAACAGGCATGTCTTTGGAAAGTTCTCTCCTGAGTGTGGTGTTGCAGACATGTGCTACCACGTTCCTTTATGTGGTGCTGGAGATGGGACTCAGGGTCTCATGTATGTTAGGCAGGGCTCTACCAACTTAGCTACATCCATTTCAGCTATTCTTTAAATGAAATTGAAAGAGGAGAGGGATCAAGATTACTTGGTTCCTTTACAGGAATTTCCCATGACCTCCCATGACACAATAAGAAAAACTGGCTTCACTGACCTACACTGCAGTAAAACAACCAAATTTACCTAGACTCAGAGTCTAATCAAAAGTATTTTTCAGAGCTGTATGTGGTGGCAAACACCTTTAATCCCAGGACTAGAAAGTGGGGGTACAGAGGCAGGAAGATCTCTGTGAATCTGAAGCCACCTTGGTCTATATAATTAAGTTCCAGGATAGCTAGGGCTACACAGACAGACCTAGTCACAAAAAAGAAAAAAAAAATTCCTTTTTTTATTTTTATTTTTTTTTATTTTTTTAAGAAAGTGTTTTAAACCAGGTATGGTAACACATGGCTATAATCCCTACAATTAGGAGGACTAAGGATTTAAGGCTAGCTTTAGCCACATAAGAAGATTCAGGCCAGATTGGGCTACATCAGACCTCTCAAAAGCAAAACAAGACAAAAAGGAAAAAAGGAAGGAAAGAAAGATCTTATTTATTTATTTTTTAAAATCTTGTTTTACCAACCCACTATTTACTCTTGGGCAGGAAACGAGCTCAGGAATAGCTCCCCTTGCTTGGTAAGTAGAAAGCTCTTGGACTGATCTTCAGCATTGGAAATCAGCTGTTTTTAGTGCTAAATTTTTTTTTGGTTTGGGGTCATAAAGCAGCATGCAGTGCTCCTGCCCAGAAATGGTCAAGTACACCAGCGTATACTTGACAATCTTAAGGTGACAAGAGTCTCATGGAACAAATGCATTTCTAAAGTTTAAGGTGGGCTTGTAGGATCAGTGTGTATATGTTGGGGGTGTGGCTAGTTTTAAACTTGATACAACCTACAATCACCTAGGAAGAGGGTCTCAATGAAGGACTGTCTAGAATCTAGACTCAAGATCAAGTTGGCCTGTGAGCATGTCTGTGGGAGACTGTCTTGATGTGGGAAGACCCAGACTGAAACTGTAGGCACTGTTCCCTGATTTGGGGGTCCTGGACTGTATCAGAGAACACAAGCATGCTTTTATGTCTCTCTGCTCTTGACTACGGATGGGATGTGAGTAGCTGCTTCAAAAGTCTTGAATCCCCTGCTGTGATGGACTGCAACCCGGAATTGTGAACTGAAACAGATAGACCCGTTCTCCCCTAAGTCGCCTTTGTCAGGGTATTTCACCTCAGCAATGGAAGTGAAACTAGAATGGGGCTACTAAACATGAGAGCTGGCCATGGCTTGCCATCAGCTGAATGTCAGTCACCTCCTCCCTCACAAGGTGTCCACTTCCGGTAAATGGTGGGAATTCCCCACATGTCAGCTGCTCCAACAGTGAAACAGAAATAAGATGTTTTCAGGAAGTTGTGGTATGGCCATCAGATGAAACTCATGAAGATCAATGGTTAGCCTCTCCCAGAGGTTAGGATTTTCCCAGAGTCTTTCCTGGTGGGTGACTTCTGTGGCTGGTGCTGGGATAAGTCAGACAGGTCATGTGCACAGCAATGGTGTCAGGTCAGACAGCTCAGGGTGAAGTTGGAAAGAGAGACAGGAAAACTGGGGAGAGGTGAGAAGGGAGTCCAGTTGAAGCCGTACACCAGCAGACAAGCAAAAATCCAGCACAAGCAATAGCTGCTTTTGGCCTCTCCCCTCCCAGCTATAAGTCAGGATGGTTCCAAGAACCTCATCAGAGAATCTCTTTACAGGGAAGGGACTGTGGTAAATCCCTTGTGCAAACCTAGCAGTTTCTTGTTTTACTTTATCAGATTATAACTCTATCTAAAGAATTGCCAGAGTTACCCTGACATCTCATCAAGAGAGAGAGAAAAGGAAAGGAAAGAGTTCTTGGCAACCCTTTGAAATGTAACCTGCATCCAGGACATGTGAGTGGTGGTAAAACAGAAATAGTTCATTGAGAGAAAAACACTTTAGGAAATGGAAGTGGGGTAGGACAGGGGTAAGGTCAGAGTTCAACAGTGGGTGATGTATATCAGGATTCTTATATTGCAGTGTGGTGGGCTTTTGGGTCATCTGAGTAGCGCTCATATTTTCTGCAAATGCTTTGCTACATGTCAGCCTTGGTGGGAGAGCATTTCAGTCTTTCTCTGACATTGTTTTTTTATTCATATGTTAACCGTGTGTGTGTGTGTGTGTGTGTGTGTGTGTGTGTGTGTGTGTGTGTGTGTAGACTGTAAGACAATGTTGGTTGTCATCCACCCTCCACGTTGTTTTTAAAGGCAGGTTCTCTTACTGGCCCAGAAATAGCCACTTAGTCTAGGATGGCCAGCCAGTGAGCCTCAGGGATCCCCCAATCCTCAGGGATCCTCCTTGGTGAAGCTGGAGTCACAGTGTGCTCCACTCATGTCCTCATGCTTGTAAGACAGACACTTTACTCACTGAATTTTCTAATCTTGCTTTGCTCCTCACACAGCAGCATGTGAAGAAAGGAAGCATGGATCTTGGTGATTAATTTATATCACAAAAATCTATTGTTTGGAGGCAAGAGAAATGGTTCAGCGGTTGAAAGCACTTTTAGTTCTTCCAGGGGACCTGAGTTTGGTTCCTACCATCCATGTGAAATGGATTGCAACTGCCTGTGACTCTAGCTCTGGGGGATCTAATGTCCTCCCCTCTTAGAGCCTGCATGGACACCCCCACACATGTGGCTTACACATGCAAACATATATGTAAATGAAATAAAAATATGTCAATCCCTTCTCCCTCTCCCTCTCCCTCTCCCTCTCCCTCCCCTCCCCCCAACCCTCTCTCCCAATCCCCCACCTACTCCCTACCCCATCCTCCCTCTGCTCCCCAGGGAGGGTAGGGCCCTCCACAGGGGTTCCCCAAAGTCCACCACATCATCCTGGGCTGGGCCTAGGCCCTCCCCCAGAACTACCATTCTTGATATGAAAACTATTATGAACCTATAAAATGATACAGCAAAATCAGTACCCACAACCCCAACTTCTTGGACTTTGGATCCCCTGGAGACATAATTTGTAGACAAATGGTTGTTGCCCACTTACTGGATTCTAGGAGATGGTTAGGCACTTCTGTTCTTTTCTTGGGTTCTTCCACCAGGCTTTTCAAGAGGAGGGGTGACACCTTATCCAAGGATTCTTCCACAATTTTTAGTTCCTGCATGGGTGCTTTCACAACTGCCATCTTCTCGTGAAAAATGGAGCTGCCCTTCTAGAGTCAAAGGTCTTTTCCTGGGAAGAAAAACAGGAGTAGTGGAATCATCATGAGAAATCACGCACATATTTCTTCTTAGCTTTTGACAAATGTACCACTTGTCTCTGCATGGTGTACTGTGGCTCCAGCCCTCCCTGCTCTCATCTGCTGGACTCTGCATTCCCACACACGGCTGTCTCATTAATCATTTGACATCACACACCATAACCCAATATAGCAACGTGCCTCAAACTCTCCCATGACTCTCAGAGCTTCTCTGAAGTGTGCTTCTGGGGTGCTTCTTGGGCACACAAAGAGGAGAGGGGCTCTCAAAGCCCAGTCAGTTTGGTAAGTTCCCAGTTTCATTTCTGTTGCTATGATAAAAAGCAAGGCAGGGGAAGAAAGGGTTTATTTTGGCTTGCAACTCCAGATCACTAAGGGGAAGTTGGGGCAGGAACTCAAACAAGTGGTCACATTGACATCCACAGTCAAAGGCAGAGAGAAATGAGTGCTCCTGTGCTTGCCTCCTGGCTTTCTTCACTCTTACCCTGTGCAGAGCCTAGCCTAGGGGGTAGTGCTGCCCACAATAGGCTGAATCTTCTCACATCAATTAACAATGAATCCACAGAGACCCAGAGGCCAATCTAATCTAGATTAAGTGGGTCATTAAAACCCTCTTTCCAGATTATTCTAGATGTGTCAAGTATAATTCTTTCTGACTTGTCTCCACATCACATCCACAGAGACGTATGAACAAGGGTCTCTTCAACATTTTGAGTTGGCAAGAGAGAGGTAATGAAGCCTGCAGGTGGCCAGGTCACAGAGACCTGGAGCATGCCTGGGAACTCTATGGATCCTTGACAGTCACTGGAAATTCCACTCTATTCCTAAACACCGATTCCCAACCCCTTTTAACATTCTCTCTCAATTACTATTTTATAAGTCATTTGGCAAGAACACTTTTTTGCCTTGAAACACAACTTTATAATTCCACATTTTTAAAAGTTTTAATTATTATTTTGTGTGTGCTTGAAGGGAAGAAGCAGTGTACATGTGTAGATCAGAGGATAAACCTAAATTTGTTCTCTCATTCCAGTTTTTATGTGGGTTCTGGGGATTGAACTCAGGTCCTTGGGCTTGCAAAGCAAGTACATTTATATTTCCCTACTGAGCCATCTCACTGGCCCCAAACCCCACATTTTCTATATCAGACACAACTCTTAACTAGATGCCTTTGCACAAGCCAGGGGGGCTGCTCAGGAAGCCCCTGAAATTGAAGGTAAAATCAAGAATGCATGTTACGAGTTTTGCTTTGGTTTTTCTTGGAGAAGTCCCATAGCATTGAAGAAGACACCAGAGAACGCAAAAATACAGTTAAAGTACACAGTAGCTGCCGAACAATCATTTTCAGAAATAAGTTGGTCTGTAGTCTCCCCCTGCACCCTCTTTCAGTAGCAAAGGCGGCTTGCTCCTCAGCACAGCCATGGGACCGGCTTCAACCCTCCTCCTGCACACCTGCCTTCCAACATCGGACTCCTAGCTCACCCTCCAGCCTCTGCTGCTCTTGGTCCCACACAATCACTGCCTGTATTTCAGGTAGGGTCAAGTTGCAGGGCCTCACCGCGGCCAATCCCCTCTTCCTTTAACTCCAACCCATGCTAAGAGTTGGTTAGAACACAGACTCACCCATTACCCCAACCCCATTATTTCATTGGACCCCCGACCCAGTTCCAAGATGAACACCTTTTGGACACCTGCCTGGGGCTCCCCTTTTAGCAGCTCAGCAGCCACCTTGGGACACTCAGGGCCCCTAGTCCGAGGCCTCTTACCCAGCAGATGATAGTTCCGGGGCGGGATTCGGCGGCGCGCAGGAACCTACTCAAAGCGTCGCCATGACAACGTGGACGCATTCCCAGGATATACTGAGGGACACGCCCAAACAGTCCCCAAACATGGAGGAAGTTGGGCGGCTTTTGTTCTGGAGCGAGGGCGAATTTCTTAGGGCTCTGAGTAGGGTTCAGAGCCTGAGAAAGACTAGAGAGTGCCACTTACTATGTGGGAAACCAATGGATTCCCCATAGGAGCTGAGAAAGTTTGGCGACACCATGGACTGGCGAGACTGACAGAGCAGATGGGGGCGGGACCTCCTTCTGTACATTCCGCGACCCACTCCCCCAGTTTCACACTTTGATTTATGGTAAAGTTTATACACTAGCCAAGTCAGGCAGACTGCTAAAAAGAAGTTCTGCTTCCTCCACTGCAACCGTGATCAAATATCAGCCAATCAAATTTTGTCTGTACTTTCTATTATTTTGAAGAAATTACCCTACGCCTTTAAATCCATGCTTTTTAAAAACTAGTGCATCTTTTATTTATTCTTTGACAATTTTATACTTGTAAACAATGTATCTTGATCATATGCACTCCCAGCCCAGACCACAACCCTCAACTAACTCATCCTGGCCCCTCCACTTTCTCTTTTGTTAATAACCCACTGACTCCAGTTAGTGCTGCCTGCCGGAAAGTTGACTGATCTTGTTGACTTGACCTTGTGCAGGTCTGGTGCAGGCAGCCACAGCTGCAGGGAGTTCGTGGGTGCACTGGCCATGTCAGGTCAGAAGGCAGCATTTCACAGAGCTACTACTGTCCTCTGGCTCTTTGTCTTTCTACCCTCCTTCTTTGATTTTCCTTGAGCCCTGGGTCAGGAGCTGGCTTGCTATAGATGTTCTGTAAGGCTGAGAACTCAGTAGACACTGATCATCAGCATTTTGACCAGTTACGAATCTCTGCATTAACTGCTGCCCACTGCAGAGAGCAGCTTCTCTGGCCAAGGTTGAGGGCTGTACTAATCTACTCGTATAGGCATAAATATTTAGAAGGCAGTTTGGCAACATCTGGTTTAGCAAAACAACAGTAGAAGGTCCTTCCCTAGAGCGTGGACTTCACCGGTCACAAGTTATTGGCTGGGTTTGCTATACCAGGCCTGAATTCCTACTTGTGGAGAAGACTTCAAATCTAATCCCAAAGCATGGGAAGATTACACAGTCCACGTGCTCTTTGGTCTGCCTCCCGTCCTGTATGACTTGGCACTTGATGCTATTCACAGTCACATGTGAAAAGACTCCAGAAGACTCACTTCTTACATACTGTCTACTTCCTACAGCTGTTATACTGGATGTAGCCCTTCCCCCACCTGCATAGGTTCATTGGGGGGTTTTTGGTGTGTGTGTGTGGGGGGGTGGGATCCACTTTTCCCTCTCTCCTTGCCATCATTACCACCTATTAAAACTTGATCTTGGGACTAGAAGGATTGCTCAGTGGTTAGATTGCTTGCTTCCAAGCAAGATGACCTGAGTTTGATCTTTAAAACCATATGATGGAAGGAGAGAAGTGACTCCTTCAAGTTGTCATCCTCTGACCTCCACATGTGTTTTGTGGCACGAGTGCATGCGTGAATGCATACACACACACACACACACACACACACACACACACACACACACACACTCAACACTGGCATTATTTAAGATTCACTTTCAGCCCTCCTCATAACGTTTCCAGCCAGAGAGACTCTTTCTTCTTTGGATTTTCATAGACCTTTTTCCCACACCTTTTTGAGTCCAGGTCTCATCTAACTTAGGATGGCCTAGAGTTCTCTGTATTTGATGACTTTGAGCTCCTGATCCTCCTGCTTCTACCCCTCACATGTTGGGATTGTAGGCGTGTGCCTCCACACTCAACTGTGTTCCACCATCTTTATCTCTTTATGTGTTACACCCATCATTATTTGTGTGTGTGCTTTGATTTTGGTTTTGAGATAGAGTCTTAGACATCTTGGGCTGACTTCAAACTTGCTACGTAGCCAAGTTTTCTGATTCTCCTGCTTCTACCTCCCCAGTGCTGGAACTGCAAATGTGCACGACCAACCACATTCCATTTGTGCGTAGTGCTGTGGGGGCTAGGAGACTGGAGGGATTCCTTCATGCTAGGCAAGCACTCTATCAACTGAGCTATACCCCAGCCTATGTATGTGTCTCAAACAGCAGAATTCTTAGGGGAAAGCCCTGGCATGCAATCTTTGGATTTTCCACAGCCCTTGACACAGTTCTTAGTTCACAGTGATTACTTTGTTACTGTTGACCTAGAGAATGAAAGTCATCATTGAGTGAGCTAGCAGCTTGCATTAGCTCTTTATGCTTTGTGCCCCAACAGGACAAGACTTCAGGAGAGCAGGAGGCTCCCAACTTCCAGTACTCTCAAGCCCTTCCTGCCCATACCCCCAGAATGGATCTCCCCCCCCCACTCCCAGCATGGATCTTCTCCCCCCACACACCCCCAGCATGAATCATCTCACACCACACACCCCCAGAATGGATCTCCTCCCCCAAACACAGATGTTTCCATGCACCTACCTATATAAATGCATAGTGTGCTGCATTTTTCTTAGTTAAAAACTTATTTCCCACTGGGCAGTGGCACATGCCTTTAATCCCAGCACTTGGGAGGTAGATGCAGGTGGATCTCTGTGAGTTCGAGGGAGGTCTCCAGAGCGAGTGCCAGGATAGGCTCCAAAGCTACACAGAGAAACCCTGTCTCGAAAAAACAAAAACAAACAAAAAACAAAAAGCAAAAAAACTTATTTCCTATCACACACATACACACACACGCACACGCACACGCACACGCACACGCACGCACACAGTACCCATGTGGTCACATAAGCCGAAGTGCCTGTTGTCATATGGGGTCACCGTCTGTTGTCATTGTCCACTGTCTAACAGCAGCTAGGTTCTAGCAGATGCTTCCAGGCTAAGCATGAATGCTTGATCAATTTATGGCTGGGTACATCTGTCATCCAATTTTGGGTATGAGACTCTAACTTCTGGGAGAATTCTGTAGACATCTTTGTCTCTACTAAGACTTCTCTCTACTAAGATGCTACGGTGTCCTCTCTTCTAAGAAGGGCACACAGAGACATACTATTGCATTAG